ATAAAATCTAATACTAGATGTTCCTGAATGTAAACTGACTTCAAATCCAAGGCAGTTCCCCTTTTTTCCAGTGAGCTCACTTCCAAAATTAACCAAGCTGAATATGTAAATATCCAGTGATATAAATGGAATAGATTTGTTTTAGTTATAAGTTTAATTTTGTATATTTGTGCATGCACGTATGCTTTTACTTCAATTATTTAAATTTAGGAAGTTTTAAAATATTACCTAAAACCGAGTAAGATTGTTTATGTTCACTTTGATATCAGTGTCTTTGTTATTATCAGAGCTAGTTTTTCAGTTATCTTACAAGGCCAAGGGTGTTTCATTTTCCCTTTCATCTAATTTGTTTGAAATACAGCACTTTTTGAGTCCAGAAGTGATGTCACTAGAAATATTATGAGAACCTGTTTGCTTAACATTAAGAGATTGCTCTTGCCTCCATTCTGTTGGTGCACTTGTGATTTTTACATTACGATGGTGCACTTGTGATTTCTACATTACAGTTGTGATTTCTACGTTAGTGTATTGCTTTCTAGTGTATTTAGAGGGTGTATTTGTGAGTTTAGACTCCTGCTTCATAAGATATTAAATTTTATTCATTTATTTTTCCTGATTATATTAGGGTACCTGTGTGAGCATCTCAAACTACAGTGTCCAGGTCATTTCTGGAGAATGTCTTCTCTGATTACTTCTTTGTTGTTCAGTTATAAGAGACTGTTTAAAATTGTTAGGTAACCTCTTCCCATCCCCCAGTACTGGGGATTGAACCCAGGGCCTTCACACTAAGCTACATCCTCAGACCTATTTTATTTTTTATTTTGAGACAAGGTCTTCCTGAGTTGCCCAAACTTGGCTCAGACTTGCAGTTCTCTTGCCTCAGCCTCCCAGAGTGCTGGGTGGGATGGTGCTTGAAATTGAAACCTGGGCCTTGTGTATGCAAGGCAAGAACTCAAGTACCACTGAGCCACATCCCCAGCCCTTAGGCAGTTTCTTTTCTTTTCTTTTCTTTTTTTGTTTTCTTTTCTTTTCTCTTCTCTTTTCTTCCCTTCTCTTTTCTTCTCTCTTTTTCTCTCTTGCTTTTTTTTTTTTTTTTTTTTTTGAGGCAGGGTCTCACTGTAGTGCAGGCTGTCCTTGAAGTTGCTTATATAGCCCAAGCTGGCCTCGAATTTACAGCATACTCCTGCCTCAGCCTCTCAAGCGCTGGGATTACAGGTGTGTGTCATCATGCCCAGCTGGCAGTTTCTGTTTACCTGAGTGATTAATTTATAATTTTGGCTAAGAAACAAATATTTAATGTACTGATACATGAGCTATTTTTAAGAGTTTGTCTTACAGTTTTGTTATTTTTTATTTATTTTTTTTGTACCAGGAATTGAGGTCAGGGTCTAGCCCTTGCCAGGCAGGTGCTGTCCCACTGAGCTACATCCCTGATCCTAACTTTTTTTAGCATATGTGCTACTGAAGTAAGCATTCAATCATACAAATTTAATGATTAAAATAAATACTTCTCATTTTTATGGTTTACTAGTGTTTATGACCCCTCATTCTTTAATCAGGCAGGACATCTAGGTTTGTTTTTAGTTCTCTATTTCCTTTTTCCCCTGCTCTTCCCAGCAAGAAAACAAAGTTCTATTAGGCTCTATTTGTAAAGGAAAGTTTCAGGTAGGTGAAGAGTCTGTCTGTTCTATCATTGGTGTATATTTTTATAATCTAAGGTCAGGGTTTGTACCTGTGTAGGTGGGAGTTTATAGGCCCAGCTGCTATGGGTGGGTGTCTGCTAGGTACCACAATGAGAGAACCATTTATTAAAATTATGTAATCATAGTGCTTATTTGGTCAGTGATTTCATATGTGGAGGTGCCATGTGGGGATTCTTTTTTTTTCTAATGAATATTGTAAAAGCTTGCAAACAGTCTTAGGTTGGTGGAGAATTTCAGTTTTTGAGGTTTAAAAAAAAGGCTGGCTTGAATAGGACAGGAAATTGACTGCTGTTTTCAGAGGTGCTCATCTGAGTTACCATCAGAAAGTTAGTGCAATTTATGAGTTATTGTTAAAAGTGATCTTTAAAAAACCAGGTAAGTGCCAGTTGTCAGCTGTGTAGCCTAAGAAAAAATGCAGTTTGGCATTGTTCCTGATTGCTAAATACAAGTTGATGTCATAAACCCAGGTCATAGTGAGTTATGGGCAAAGCTATTTTCCTTAAGCATCAGCAAAAACTCCTGTAGGCAGTTTTAGTAGGGAAAAATATCTGATGTGAGTAAGAGGAACATTTTTCCATAAACAATCACAAATCCAGAAGGAAAGGGATTATAGAGTGGGAAACAATGGGGAATGTGAGAAAAGAGGGAAAGGGTACATGTCCAAGGCTCTAAATTAAAAACTTTATAAACAGTAGAATTTTTGAGCTGGGTGTGGTGGCACAAGTCTGTCTGTAATCCCAGCATTCTGAGAGTCAGAGGCAAGAGGACTGCCAGTTCAACCTCGCCTGGGCAACTTAGTGACTTAGTGATACCATCTCCAAAAAAAAAAATCTACTTCTCTGTTTTTTATGAATATTTTTTAATTAAGTGAGACGTACTTAGAATTTTAAAGTTATTTATGTGAAATTCAGATTTAATTGAGTGTCTTTGTATTTTTATTTGCTGTGTAGCAACCTATAAAAAATTCTCTGTGAAAATTTATGTCTGTAGATAGAGAAGCTCATATTAAGGAAGGGCTTGAAAAAGATTGTCAGTTACTAAGTAAGCTCTTAAATCTGAAAGGAAGTGGAGTGAGGAAGGTGACAGTGGGGTCAGACAAAATTGTGTAACTGTGAGTCATCACCTTTTGAAATTCCTAGAATTGTGTTGTAAGAAGACGGTACAGGATCTTAGAACATTGTAGGGAGCTTCTGATGAAGTCACAGTCAACATAAATGAATAGATAAATTAGCTTTCTGCTAATATTGTGTTAAATTCTTTATTTTGGTTACAAATAACAGAGACCTACTTTGGTTTATTTAAGTATAAGAGGAAATGTATTGAAAGATTAATACATCTTACAGTTCCTAGAAGTTGAATGCTCAAGTTCTCACAGTAAGAATTCAGCTATTTTTGGGTATCATAGGAAGAATTTAGATATTTCTGAACATATAATTCAAAGTTCAGCACCTCAGACATATGGGACAGAGAATTCATTCTTAGCCAGAAAGATATATGGTGATAGTACAGCCCTGGCTTGGTCAGTGGGCCCCTGCCCTTACCTCCGAGGATGGTCTCCAAAGAAAACTGAACATATGGAGAGGGAGAAAGGTAATGTCTTTACTATTAGTGCTTGTAGAATTTTCTAAATGTGCATAGTTTTAGAGAGGTACTTATATAAAAATTGAGGGGATTAAAAATTACTCTGTGTTTCTGCCTTTTTTGAAGGTAGATTGAGTACAGGGAGTAAATACTGAGCTACATTTCCAGCCTCACCACATTTTTTGAGACAGTCTCATTAAATTGTCCAGGATGGCCTCAAACTTTCTTCTCTTCCTCTTCTTCTTCCCCTTCCCCTTCCCCTTCCAGAAATCAAACTCAGGACCTTGTGCTTGCCAGGCAGGTGCTTGTGCTGCTGAGCTATATCCCGGCCTTGGTGTCAAACTTGTGATCCTCCTACTTCAGCATCCCAAGTGCTGGGATTACAGCTGTGCACCACCACACCCCAGCTATTGTTGGCTTTTTGATTGGCAGTTTTTAGGTTTTGCCTTTTTTTCCATAATCATACCAAAGTCATTTCAGAAGCAGTCTAGTGGATTATAATATAGTATGAACTGTGGATTCTTACAGAATTGGGTTCTGATCCCAGTTACAGGTTTTGTGACCTGGTGCATATCACCTGACTTTGTGTGGGGGTGGGTGGCTGTTTCGACTTTAATGATTAGGAGTTTCGCTCAGGGATGTGAAATTATGGGGCTTGCCCTTAGGAGGGTGACAGTGTGCACGGGGTGTGATAGGGGTACAGCGAAGGGAGAACCCTGAGGGTGCAAAGGGAAAAATGGCTGGATGAGCATCACAGAGCAGAGGAGAGGGAGAAGAGAGGTGAGGAAATTGAGTTATTTTTAAGGGAAGAAATTGAGAGAGGAAGAACTCGAAGATGGCTGATAATTTTGAGCCTGCATGACAGGAGGGATTGGAATGCTGGTAACAGAGAAGGTGGCTACAGGAGGAACAGCAAAGCAGGGCCTGGACCACTGG